GGAATGTGTGTTACCTAAACCCGTAATTTGACAACACTGTTTTCTTGTGCCTCATTGCGGTCAATCTGTGAAACTTTGGTCGAGGACCGTGGTTGTCATATTGAGGTCCGTCTGCATTCCAACCCACGATCAGTAGTAACTTAACGAAGTTAGGTCTTTTGAGTTACCGTTGCCGTGCGTTATGACCATCGGGGTTTCATTCAATGTCCAGGCACCTTCATTACTTTGTCTATATCATCATCCATGCTTTCGATTCTACTTCTGTGGTCGCCGAATGAGCGAGTTGCCGTCTGAGCGGTACAGTAGGAAGACTTCAGCCTCGACAGGACTCCCCCTTCAGTCGCTCCCGAACCCTTGGTTCTGGGTAAAAAAATCGAAAACTAATGTTGATTGTCCTTTAACTGCTTTATTATAGACGAGCGATCATGTTAAATAGTCTTACGGTTTATTAAGTGCACGAGCACAATTCCATTATAGTTGCGGAGTGATATAGTCAAGCACTCAGTGGCTGGTCGTTTTACACCGAACTTGACAGGCACGGATAATGGTATTCGTCTTCATGTCGTGTAATTTGGTGTCAGCGCGTTCACACCGCATGCACTAAAATGCTGCTTCAGGTACTTCAGCTTGTATTGTAAAGTGCAGTGGCATGGTCGTGTGCTACACTAAATCCTGGTTCATTGAGAAGTGCTATTCTGCATGCGAAATTGCGTGTGGCAGGCGGCTTGTCATGGGCGCGTATTCCAAAGGTGCAGATTTACTCTCAGTTTGGGGTCAGGTGACACGTAGTGTTTGACTGAATGCAGTGGTTTTCGTTACGAACTTCAGCGCTGAAGGGAGTCAAATAGAAGTTGACACAACCGAATCAGTTCAAATCTGTCGTTAACCGCACTGATTCGAAGCACTTCATCCAGTTTTTCAACCAGGTACTGTGCGAATGCGTTCTGGTCCCGTATTAGAATGCTAAAAGTGCAAAAAGTTAAACAGGGTCAAAATTTTTCTGCAATAAATGCACAAGGAAAATGGACCTTACCATGATGTGACGGCTTGTGTGCCTCTGTAACCCACTGAGTTATATTGGGTGACTCACGGACAACGTAGGTCGCTTGCTTCGGATGTGTGCCGATCACAGGCTGTTCCTTCGGAGTGCCAATTTCCGGAACAGTGGAAATCGTCTGGCGACCTGTCGCCCCCCCCCCCCCTGGCGAAACAGTCCCGAATCCGAATGAACCATATTGGTGTCGGTTCCCGGCAGCGAGGGTCATTCACTGTCTGTCGCTTCTAATGGGACAGTAGCATGGACTCTAACCATGCACTTGTGCGCTACTGCTTTCCATTGTGCTTTCCAGGTCTCCACAAGAGGCACACCCCTCGCTCAGCCCTTGAGAAGCTACTCAACCGAGAAATCGAACGTAACTTTCAGAAGTGGCTCGTAAAACGGCTGTAGGATTTCGGATAATAACGGTCACAGAGAACGGATACCCAGAGTAGTTCTTAGAGCAGGGACCCAGCCAAACTCTTCCAAATAGGGATCTCAATAGGACCGTGGCCTTGCTGAAACCGGGCAGCTGATTCCTCCTGGCTGCAACCACAACCCAACGCCTCATTCGACGCCAGGTGTCCGTGAGCACCGCGAAGCTCGGTGGACCCAAAGGCCGAAGAAATGGGAATTCGATCGTCTGGATCTCTGGAATGTGTTGAAAGCGAAACATTCAGGTAACAGAATAGGTCTCTGATATCCGGCAAAGGAGAACGTTTGGACTGTTTGGCACAACACTTTGAATAACATCTCACATGACCACCTGCTACCTCCATTCCGGTTTTACCCCCTTCAACAAAAGTTGGACCATGAGCAGGGAACTGCCCTCAACCTCAGAAGTGTCAGTGTATATATTCCTACTCGAACATAATCACGATCCTCGCCCTGACGGCCTTTGGTCAATGCCTGTCTAGCCTATTTGGGTCTATCTGAGGGAAGAGACCGTTGTGATAACTGGAGTAAGTGGATAATAGTACCCATTTTGATATAGGTTACTCGCAGTGAATGTAGGAACCACAGAGTTGTTAGTTCGAGTCTGGCGTCACCGATTCTCCGTTGTCGGACGGCGGCACGCGCATCCTTGACTCGTGAATATCAAGATCGATGAAATAATGAGACGAACGCTGGAAGGCCTCCGAAACCCTGTGTTCAAATATCCTGTGAAGGAAACCTCGTCAATCTGAAGTGCGCATTCTCATCTTCGAAGAGGAGGAGAAGGCGCGGGTGTTCTTGGATGAACTGACCAAAGTCCTTTGGTATGCGCTTTTTACCTATAAAGTGTAAGGTCATGCTCGTTGACGTGCAGTCACTGAACGCGCCACTTACAAGCCAGGAATAGGCACTGGAAGTTATGGTGCGTTTTATGTATCTTGGAAGTTGTATTAGTTCTGACTGTGGTGTGACAGGTGAGCTGAATGCACGAATCTGCAAGGCTCGGGTCGCGTTTGCTAATTTTAGACACGTCGCCAGAGTGGTGTATCCCTGAATCTCAAGAGATATGGGTATCAAGCTACAGTGCGGGCTGTTTTGTTGTGTCCGTGAGACTTGACCTGTTTTAGCAGCGGAACTGAGACTTCTTCAGGTGTTCTACAATTGTCGTCTCAGAACAATAGCTCGGGTGGGTTGGCGTCAGTGTATCCGTAACGAGGCAATTAGAAAATGAGTTTTCGGTTGTGTAACGGGTACTTCCGTTGAAGAATGTGTCCAGCACCAGAAGCTGCGTTGGTTGGAACATGTGTTGCGTATGCCGAACCATCGTTCGCCGAAGAGGGTTCCGTTTTGCATGCACAATTCAGAGTGGCGTAAGCGGAGAGGTGGCAAACCTTCCAACTTGGCAGAGGGGTATGAAGGAGGTTACGAAACGCTTGGGTGCTGTCGGTGTTACTCGCCTTCCAGGATGGGGACCGCGTGATCCTCAGTGTCTGGTTGGAGACATTACAAGGTCCAACCGCCAATCGATGTCAGTGGTGTTCTTGTTGTCAGTTTCTATCTAGATTGCCTGACCAAGTGTCTGGAGGTGTGATGATGATGAATATCAAGAATTTTTCGACCGAGTAGAGACTGCTTGGATTACATGTTCACGCTCCTTCAGGCGTTAGAGCAACGCCATATGTACTGACGACTCAATCTTGGTATTCCTTGACTTCAAGGCTTCGTTGGATTCTGTGGATCGTTCTGTACTGTTACTCGTTTGCTCAATAGGGTATTCTCATGAAGTTTCTGAACCTAATCCAGTCCCTATATTCCCCTACTTCTGGGTGTGTGAGTGTATTGTGAGCTCTCCAAATGCTTTCTTGCTTTCACTTGTTTTCGTTCTAAAGCTTAAAATGTGATATTATAAAGTTTGCAGTTCTGCGTCAGTGAACCGTTAGTGTCAACAGTGCTGTTGCTGTCTCTGATTATGTTGACGATAGATGTGGCTATAGCGACCGCAGTCCTGGTGTGAACTGACACGCACCATCCATACAGCCTGAGAGTGTCGTCAGAAGTGCACTGATTGCGAAACAATACGTTACATGGATTGTGGAGATTTCGTCCTGTAAGTGAAGCCAATCTATGCTGAAAAGCCGAGGAGCGCTGTACAGCTGTTTCATCTTTTTTTGGAATCAACAGCAATGCGCATCTCACGAAACTCCGAAGAGTCTCGAACCCGCGACCTCCCGATTAGTAGTTTGAACACTTAACCGTTCGGCCACGAGCGGGTCCTGGTGTGATGGTGTATGTTACTGATGAAGCACTCGAATAGTCTGTGGCCTGGTTCCAAGCTCCGCCCCGGCATCTGATGGAACATGAAGGTTATTACGGAACTTATGAAACAACTTTGCAGTGTCCGTCTACTGTTGTTTAACAGTCGGTGGATGTCCAGGAAAGTTCTAGGGGGTGTGTGAGAATATTCACTTTTCAAACTCTGTGCGGATAAGATGTTTACTTTCGTGTCTAGTTACTTGTAACCAGTTAGTTCATGCTTCCTAATGAGCGATTTCACAGCGAAGGACTTTCCCCTTCACTGGTAGCCACTTTAAGTGCTGGTGATAAGAATGCTTCGGACAGCATGTCATGGCTAACTCGGAATAGTCTTCATAGGCTATTCGCGAGGTTCATTAAATTGCGCAGATAAGCTGTACTTAACATATTAACACTTTCGAATTTGAACCTCTCTTTGATGTAGAACCCTGTTGTCTCATTCGCTGGTCGTTTGGGGACCAGTTGCACGCCATTGATGTGTGGTGTTCCATATTGACTAAGCTAGGTTGATCAGTGAGTGCTTTGCTTTTGTAACATTACCGGGATAAAATGTTGAACTCAAATGCCATACTTGAGCATAAGTTTGATTGTGCTAGCTTTATTCCAGATGTGTCATGTACAACGTCTGGAGTTAACAGAATTGTGAGAGCTGAAGCTTCAGTTGTGTAAGATTAATATCTAGGTAGAAATTAAGGCAACAAGCCGGTAGCAGGAAGCGACCATGTAGATATAAATTGCAACTCCCCATCGGTTTGAGAGTGTTATACCTAGGTAGATTCTCGAAGCGAATCGAAATATAACCGTTCTGCGAAGTCTGTTTTATTTTCGGTGTGCGTACACAATTTTTCATGAGCATTGTTTTCTCTTGTTGATTTGGTTCTTTGATAACCCCTCTGATTGTCGCTTCATTTTATGACGACATCCGGTGCCGATTTCATTCTTTTGCAGCATCGTCAGAGAATAGCAATTATTGTCCTCCGTTTAGAACCTTAACTAAAATTTTCAGCTGATCCCTTATCAGGTCATAAGCTGAAAACAAAAACTAACAGCGCTGTTCTGGCGCAACAGCTGGGGGCCAAAAACCCACCGCTTTATAGATTTCAACAAGCAACCGCGTGTTACTAGTTTTTGTCTAACTAGTCGATCGCAGTCACACGTTGCCATGCCACCTTTTGTGGTTGCTGTCACACATGCACGCCTATCTCCTTCGTCTTAGATGGCAGTCAACACGTCCTCGGTCGATTTGAGCACACAAAAGAACCGGTTTCTCTCTATTGTAGATGGTGAGTTGGCCAGTTTTATTTAGATTTCGTGCTCCTTTCATCCAACTCTTTCTGAATGTATATGACAGCACACCGTGGCACATGATTGCACTACCGTGGTGCATATATTAGTCTATTCCTGACGCGTTCGGCGCTTGCCTCGTGATCGTAAATCGCATTTGGATTATTGAAGCATCAGGATTCTAGCTTTGTGGCCTTAGGTGGACACCTTGGATCTCCAATTTTAAGCCATGAACTCGATTGCATTCTGGAGGCACGGGATCGAAGAATCAAGTTTTGAGGAGCATTACCAAAGCGGGAAGCTACATTTCAATAGCGGGAGACCAAGGCATCAAAATGCCCCACTTGCCGCTGAAATTGCGTTAGAAGTGAAAGATTCGAAGGAGGAGCTGTAATCCAGACAGGACAGTATTTCCTGAACCTTGTGTAAATAAAGAAAACTGGCTTTTCAATCTTTAGGTAGCCAATACAATATGGATGAGACTGTCGACAGCCTACGTCGGATGTTGGACTGTTCTCTAGGCTTGACAGCTTTGTTGCAAGCTTTGGTGAGTAATAAAATAAGGACCCGCCATTTTGGGATAATCGTTCTGTTGTCGCATGATTTTGGGTTGAGTGTCACTGTTGCTAATACTCCGTATGAAACGGATGACTGTTGAAATGAGTGCCATGGTGCTTTCGTACATTCCTGACCGTTTCGGGCGATCCTCCTTGCTTTTTGCCGAGGGCCACATGGATTATCGCCCATAACCGTTGGTAGTGACAAATTTGAGGGTTTTAGGAAGTTTCTGGCTTAAATTTGTGTAGCTTTTTTTGTTTATTGATACAACGGTGAATCATCAGAACAGTAGAATGAACTGTTCCTCTGACGCGATATTCAAATTTATGTGTTTTTACGCTGTTGATGCGTTGTCTGCTGCAGTAGGAAGTATGTACTAATAAATTTCTCCATGGTCTGGTGGTTCTTGGGCTCCACTACTTTCAGGTAAGGTTTTGCTCTCATTATTGGTGAAATTCGTAGGTTTTCAAGCTGGGAATCAGACACTGGCCACTTTAGTGTAGGTGATGAGGATTAGCCTTGAAAGGACAGGTCGCCTTTATACTGAAGTCATGCGTCATTTGGCTCATGGAATTCAAAATCCTTCATCTTTGCTGGCTTTGACTATGTAACGGTCGAACGGTATCTTCGAGTGACGCGTAATACCAGAACCTCCGGGTAGGCAAAACAAAGTCGGAGCTGGGTTTCTATGCGGTACTATTAGGGTAAGAGAAATTCACAATTTGTACAAACCTCGACAGTAGATACGCGTCCAAAACAAACAGTCCGCTTGGACTTCAAAAGTGCAAAGCAAGGGAGCAAACAGGCTCCAACGTGCGACAGTCATACGTGCAAAGTCAGATACAAATGGCCGGATGACCTCAAGGCCAAATGGGTGAAGTGGTAAGGAGGAACAAACGTCAGTTCATATATACACACTAAACACAAAAGTGGGGCGGGGGCTACAAATGGGGACATAATAAACGTGGAGAATTTCATTGTCAACATGATAGATGATACAAAATACTTGGTCTGAGTGTTTTGACCTCCAGTTTACTTTAATATACATTGGTTGGTCATTGGTTGAATACAGTGTGTTGTTGCATCAGTATGTTCGTAGGCAGAATGTTCGCGTGGAGTTATCTGAGATCATGCTTTAGATAACGTCTGGATAGTGGGAGCTAGCCACACGGCTGTTCAGCCACTCGTGGTCGAACTGTTAGGTGTTGAACCACTGTCCGGAAGGTCACGGATTCGGAACTCTGAGTTTCGTGAGATGCACACTCCTAATGATTCCCACTAGGGATACAACCACTGTACAGTGCTCTTCGACTTTTTAGAGCCGATTGGCCTGACTGACAGGGCGAAATGTCAATTGAAAACTACTACATATCTTCACACTACGATCAATTCTGGATAGTAGTTTTGTTTTCGTTTTTGCGCGATTTACTGGATCCAGTCCAGGCCAATAGGTGCTGCTGACTGGCAAATCTTATGTGGTGGTCCCACTGCCAAGGGACGAACATTTCTGGAATAAGCGGTGTTTGTTCCGCAAAGGGATTGGTTTCTCTGACGGTTACAATTCATTCAGCCTGTCGAAGTTCCACAATTGCGTTTCGGATGAAGTTTGCATTAAGTATACTTAGCTATTATATATATATATATATATAGAT